GCAAATATATTATTGACATGCTACATCGGGCAAAGATGGTTGGTGCCAAGCCCTATAATGCCCCTTGTGTTACTGGAAGCAAACTTTCTTCTCATTCTGGGGAGTCCCTACCTGACATCACAGAGTATCGTCAAATTGTGGGAGCTCTTCAATATTGTACTCTCACATGCCCTGAAATTGCCTTCTCTGTGAACCAATTATGCCAACACTTGCATTCACCCACTACAGAACATTGGTCCTCCGCCAAGCATGTTCTTCGCTATTTAAAGGGTACTATTGATCATGGCCTATACTACACTCGTGGCTCTCTCATCTTGTGAGCATACTCTGACTCAGATTGGGCTGGGGATCCAGATGATCGTTGATCTACCACAAGTTATGGTGTTTTTCTTGGTCCCTTTCTAGTCTCATGGTGTGCAAAGAAGCAACCTATAGTCTCTCGATCAAGTACAGAGGCTGAATATCGTGCTCTTGCAATGACAGTCGCTGAAGTTTATTGGCTTCAAATGGTTCTCAAGACTTTGCATATTTCACTGGCATTTCCTCCTGTTATTCATTGTGATAATATTGGTGCAATTTCCCTTGCCTCCAATCCGGTTTTTCATGCTCATACCAAACATGTTGAGGTTGATGTTCACTTTATTCGTAAGAAGGTTCTCAACAATGATGTTGTTATTCGTTTTATTTCAACTGTAGACCAGCTTGCTGATCTCTTTACAAAAGGACTTTCCTCATCTCGTTTTTGCTCCCTACGAGACAAGCTTATGGTGTGTACAGCCCCCATTCGCTTGCGGGGGGATGCTAATGTAACAAACACAAAAATCACCAGAGACTGATTGCTGATCCCTTGGCACGCATCTTGGCATGAATCTTGGTACTAATCATGCAGTCATAATAGTCTGATTTTAATTACATTGATTATTTCCTTTTTTTGTAATCCTGTGTAATTATCAATTGTCCTTTCCTTTTTTATCACAATATACAGAACTCATATAAATATACATTCATTTGCTAGTCTTGGTATCAATTGAACCAAGCCTTTCACAATTCTTTCTATAAGTACTACTCACTTCTCAATCATTCATTTTTATCTAATAATTAAAACCGTTTATAAACACTTTCAAATATTGTTTAAATTTTTTCCAATACTTGGAAAAGAGAATTAAACTAATACGTTCTTTGTGTACATTAAATTTGACATTTCAAGATGTGTCAAAATCTATGTCATCAGTTGTTTAAAGTGTCGTTAAAATCAATGTATAAAATGTTCTATCCCACAACAATGTCAAATTTGACGTAACTATAGCAAAATTGTGAGAAAGATTACCTGGATTCCTTGTAAATTTCAACTAGAATGGCGGATAATTTTATAAATTAATCGTCCCATATTTTTAATCGTCAGTTGAAAACGAAAAGGACAAATTACTTTTAAAAAATGGGAAATAATGCACATCTATAAAAATATCAATGGAAGACTATTGGAATGTAGGCGGACATTGAAAGATATATGGAAGATGAAGAAATGTTGTGCTCAAAATGTTTGGTGTTTCCGTGAATCAAACTATTTTATTCAATTGTTTGTGCAAATTTTAATATCATTAGTCAGAGTTAAACGTGCATTGCACGTTATTTTGAAATACTTTATAAATATTATAAAAGTAATATTTGATATCAATTTATCGAGAGAATTTAATGAATCTCAAACGAACTAAAGAAAATAAAATTTATTATAGAAATTTAAGAGAAGAAAATTGTACTCTTAAAAACTCAATTTCTATAATTCAAATTTTTTATGGTGATGAAATACTACAAATGAGCAACCTTTTTGCACTACATTTGGTACATAAAAATTAATTGTTAATACATAAATTTAAATATCCATTAAAATTCTTGGATACATGAATAGAAATAAATTCATCTATAATAACTTTAGATTCATGTAGATCAAGATTCATCAAGTCAATTCATTAAATCTAAATTAATGTGAATGTTAATTAATTGAGAATTAATAATACAAAATTCTTACATAACAAAGATTTTATAATATTTATTATATATTGAAAAATGAAAATGTAAGGTACTATTGAAATAATTGAATTATACCCCCCATGGCCCGTCCAATTTATATAGGCTTAATTTTCTTTTTTTCTTTTCCCAAATATATAGTCCTATTTTTTAATTTAGAATATTTTGTTTTATTCCTTTACTAATATATCCTTATTTAATTTGTCTAGTTATAATCAATTTTTCTCACTTAATTTGGCTACTTCTTGAAATCATCCAAATACATGGACGTTTCCCAATAATTTGCCTACTTCTTGAAATCAATTTTCAAATTATTTACTAATTCCAATAATAATTTACTACTAGTTGTTGAAAATTAAATAGGAGTAAACTAGGAAATCTTAGCAAAAATTATTTTTTCAATAACATTAAAGACTTGTTTGATCCACATTATTTTCAAAAATAAAAATAAAAAAATACATTATTAAACAATGATTTGATATCATTTTAACCACACATTTTTCAATAAAATAATATTCTAGACAAATAATATTACATTATTAAACAGTGATTTGTTATTTTTTTAACAATGCATTTCTCATCAACACACTATTAAAAAATGCATTCTAAATGGGACGGAGGGAGTAATAGAGTTAAAATCGTCCAAAAAAATGATTCTTACTTGATGTGATATTTAATATATTATATATTAGTGTACATATATAGGCATAGTCCATCAAAAGTTCAGTCGTGAAGTAATGAATGAATATATTTTCTAGGAAAATTAGAACTTACCTTTCAAATTAGATAAAAGTTAAAAAATTAAACCATGATATAAAACAAAAGAAATAAATGAAATATTAAAATTTTTTTTGGAAGTTCTAAGTAGCATAAAAAAACTGGAAAAAGAAAAGGAAAACCAAATCAAAAGTTCCTTAATTATTAGATTTAATGGAACGACTCATTTAGATAACGCAAAAAAGGAATGATCTTGATACCACCAACTATGACATCTTCGACAACGTTAGATCTTAGCACAAGGCAAAGGAAGGAAACCCGAAAAAAAAAATTAATAAATAAATAAATAAATAAAAAAGAGGAAAATTTGGTGGAAAGAGTGGAGAAAATAAAATTTCTTCAAGGATAAGAAATAAAGCATGAGATGAAAGATCCTGTACAAAGCAATAAAAAGGAAAAAGAAACTGATCATGAAAATTAATGGAATTGATGACCAAGCTCTACATTGAATCAAATCTCAGGGTTGCAAACCATAGTCAAAGAGTGAAAGAAAAAAGGGACAAAAAAATCATGGTATATACGCTCCTGGGTACTATGATCAGGTGGAGATCATATTGACTCCGGTACGAAATAAATAAACTTGAAGGTGAAAGCAATATCATGTTCAACATTGTTGATTTTTCAAAAAACGATTCCATTGAAAATGACGAAATCGCATCATTTATAGAACTTGAGATTGAGTCTCTCTACTAGTTAGTCTGCCATCTTCGGAGATGTTCACATGTAACAAAAGAAATAGAGAAAAGGTGAGGAAAGTGCTTAGTGCGACAACTGAATAAGTTAAACGAGTGATTAAAGTTTTTAATTTGATGCATTTTTTTTTAAAAAGGTGTAAAAAATTTTTTTTTTTTTTTTCCCTTTTTTTTTTTTTTTTTTTTTTTTTTTTTTATCTTAACAATTTTTAATAACCAATTGACATTTATAATTAAACAAGTTTAACTGAACGACTATATTTGGCTTATGTTTGGCTCATGTATATAAATTGTTTATAAATAATCAAATTACTTATTATTTATACGTTTGGAGGGATCACAAATATAACTCACTTATTATTCGTCGCTCATTTTTATCTATTTATAATTTAAATCATTTTATAAAAGCTTCCCAAACATGAATTTAACAAATTAACAAAGACTGAACTTACTTTCTTTTGCTAGAAATATTTTTCACTTGACGTTAAAGGAGAAAGCAATCAAACTTCATTGAACAATCAACCAGGAAATACAAGGAAGAAATCTTATTGGTACATAAAGTCAAACCAGGGAATTACCACAAACAAAAGCCTACAAGCAGAGTGCTTGACCTTATTCATTTCAAGGGAAGAACTGACACGACCCGTCCCGATCACCCTAATGGATCCGACACGTGTCGTGTGCCGATGGTAGATACCAGCTAAATGCCGGACCCACCACCAAGGCAAACTTGACATGCTTTGACTGTAATAATTTTATAAAAATTTCGGCAGAGTTTCCTCTGAAAAATGGACTAAAACCACCTGAGAATAAAACCAAAAATCCCAAACATATACACATACTTTAAAATAGGGTACACAAGCCCATCAAAATACTAATTCATCAAGGAATTGTACTGAAAAAGAAATTTACCATATCAAAACATACACAAAATATGCAATGGGTATGAGACTTAATACATTTTTGATACAAAATACATTAACCCCCAAAATATATGTTGTATGGATTAACAAAATGAGACATACAAACAAGGACACGATGAAGCTCAACTCGTCGAACGACAGGCTCTGATATGGCTCAACGCAGCTTCTATCTGATAAGAAATGAGGTGACAAAAATATGAGCTAGCGACTCAGTGAGTGGATATTTGTAAAGGTCATACTTTATCATTTATAACACCTTTCTAAATACTAGTATATAGTAAAAATTTCCTTTCACAATATGTTAAATTAAAATCTTCATTCTTTCAACTGAATCAACTAAATACTGTAAAATCTATTTCTAAAATCTGATAAGCTATGTAATACTGAAGCATCACACCAAAAATGTACCCTGAATAACCATACTCGTGTATCGATTAATCTCGATATACATAGCAAGGTCATTAAATTCTAAAGTTGGGTCATTAATCAGTTTGCCCAATATTCTTTCATAGAAATACAGGTACCACCTGTGGAAAGGAAAGAAAAGCCAAGAGTTGTGAACTTGAAGGTCAAGATTGTTGAACCCGACTTGGTCATGGGCTCCATTGCAATAGGCACAATGAATATTGGCTTGCTGCATGAAGCCACGTGGATCTTGCGGATCGGTTGTATCAAGCTACCTCATGCGCCTAATGGCTTCTTCGTACTTGGCCACTTGTTCTTTACTGGCCCTATGAGCAGCCGGCCTAATGCGCATCACCTGAAACGGTGGAAGCTTGTAATCGATGATCTTGTCGGCAAGCGGGGGGCAACATTTAACATCTAGAGCAGCGCCAGTCTGAGCGTCACGGGCATCGCCGCACTTGGTGAAGTCGGGAGCTTGTACCGGGTCGGCATAGGCCGAAGGATTTGCCACAAGGTTGGCTGCACCATACATTCCCCCTAGCCCCAGAAGCATATTTCTCCTATCGATCTTCCCTTGGGAAGTTTCGACATTTTTCTTGGCATCGCATGACACTTGAAAGCGGTGACTCCGCCTCGAGTGGGTGAACAGATGTGATGGCTTGGCGGAGAGCGGCTGAGTTGAGGAGGAGGAATGGGAGCGGGGATTGGTGGAGAGAACAGTGCATGAAGCTTGAAGAGAAGCCATGATTAGTAATATTTTTGGATGTGAATTGCATGAGATCCCTGTGCTTGTTTATATAGACTTTAATTACGACAGTTCATGTTGTGGTATTAATTTAGGGAATATGCTACTTAATTAGTTCCCGATTTATCCTTGGTTCCAACCCACCAGTGTACGCCAGTGTGAGAACCATTTTCTGATGAGCCAGGTCCTGGACTTGGGTTGGTTCCAGCACAGTAAGGTTTTCCCATGAAATCATTTGTGGTGCTGACGCTGCGAACCATTTCACTGTATATCGAAGAGAGGTTGTTGGCCACCAACTGTAGATTGTCTGTGCTGCCGGAGAATGTAAGATCGACAATGGCGGAGCCCCTATTGTTTGGATCCCGCTTTTCATCGTATAGAGGTGAGTCGGTTTTATCGAAAATGGGAGGCAATGTCATGCCCTTAGGATTGTCCCAGTTCCAGAATGGGAGAGCAAAAGTTGGGTCATTAATCAGTTTGCCCAATATTCTTTCATAGAAATACAGGTACCACCTGTGGAAAGGAAAGAAAAGCCAAGAGTTGTGAACTTGAAGGTCAAGATTGTTGAACCCGACTTGGTCATGGGCTCCATTGCAATAGGCACAATGAATATTGGCTTGCTGCATGAAGCCACGTGGATCTTGCGGATCGGTTGTATCAAGCTGCCTCATGCGCCTAATGGCTTCTTCGTACTTGGTCACTTGTTCTTTGCTGGCCCTATGAGCAGCCGGCCTAATGCGCATCACCTGAAACGGTGGAAGCTTGTAATCGATGATCTTGTCGGCAAGCGGGGGGCAACATTTAACATTTAGAGCAGCGTTAGTCTGAACGTCATGGGCTTCGCCGCACTTGGTGAAGTCGGGAGCTTGTACCGGGTCGGCATAAGCCGAAGGATTTGCCACAAGGTTGGCTGCACCATACATTCCCCCCAGCCCAAGAGGCATATTTCTCCTATCGACCTTCCCTTGGAAAGTTTCGACACTTTTCTTGGCATCGCATGACACTTGAAAGCGGTGACTCCGCCTCGAGTGGGTGAACAGATGTGATGGCTTGGCGGAGAGCGGCTGAGTTGAGGAGGAGGAATGGGAGCGGGGATTGGTGGAGAGAACAGTGCATGAAGCTTGAAGAGAAGCCATGATTAGTAATATTTTTGGATGTGAATTGCATGAGATCCCTGTGCTTGTTTATATAGACTTTAATTACGACGGTTCATGTTGTGGTATTAATTTAGGGAATATGCTACTTAATTAGTTGATTAAATTTTTTGTACTTAATTAATCCAAATAATTTTTTAGTTAAGTTCAATTTCAAATAAATTTAAAAGGATACTAAGCCTTGACGAATGATATTTCCGCATCACATTGTAGTGGTGTGAGTCTTAGAATAAGAGGTGTAATGAATTTCTCTACTTGAGCTTTTCATTGGTGGACTATATATGTTACACAAAATTGTATATTTTATTTTTTAATGTAAAATTTAGTTCTCAGAAAGCAATGTAAAATTGATTAATAATGAAAATGACACAATGAATCTCATTGAAGTTTCGAATGGGTACCTAAGGCCCCTTGTAAAATAATAAAAACGAAAAAACGAAAAAAAAAAATCATAAAAATGAATATGAACTTAGTCTGAAAAAAAACAAATATATAATGGATAGAAATTATTTATTTAGTTATTTAAAAAGTAATAAAATAAGATATAACGTCTACTGTGGAGTTAATTTGATTGAAATCGCAATAAAGTCCACAACGATGTGTAAATTTTTACTGAAATTTCAAATAGTTTGATCAAAAGTTCTTTCGAGAATTTCCAGGAAATTTAATTCCTGCAAGTTTCTCGATGGAAGAGAGAGAGAAAATTCTACATTTTCATAACTAGAAATTTTGAATTTAATAAAACCATGTTATTCATATGTTGTATAAATAGTGACATTATAATATCATCACAGTAATTTGACCAAGTTTAACACATAAAGAAAAAAATTATTAACTATTTAAAAGAGATTTGAAAACCCAGTCACCATCAAGATATCAATCCTATCAATATCAATATCATATTTGTATGTATGTTATTGGAGTTAGGTTTCTCATTTATTTCTCTTTACATTTTTAATACGATATTTTATATTTTCAACTCTAATGTGAGCATGAATCTCGAGTTCAATGTACCATCCTAGCTAGGATTATAAAATTGAAAAATAAAACCATTTTAGATTGTAAAATATGTCCAGATAGTAGAGTTCAATTATTTATTTAAATTGTTGTTAGATATTTTATATGATGTAAATATAAAATTTATTCGTTTAACTAGCTTTAAATTGTAAATTAGCAACAAGAATAAAGATTGAAACATTACACGAAAATATATATTTAAACAAATAATTTAGATGGAATTGATGCAATTAAAAGAGACTCAAATCTCATTCCACCTTTACCATGTGAGTTCATATGCCCTCTACAAAGCCAATAATCTAATACCAACTATGATGGCGGCTAAGGAGAATTTGTTTTCATTTCCAATTTCATCTATAATAATTTAATCAGTCCCACCACTAGACGGAATTTGAAGAATTATTAATATTTTCTTCAGTGATCAATGTTAACACCAAAAAAAAAAAAAAAGGGTCTTTTTGTAAACTTTATGTTTGAAAACCTAGTATGTGCATAGTGACATAAATCACGCATTGCTCAACCTTTGAAAGAAGATGCGGATTTTACACATTCAGAATGAGTTAAGGGAAGATAAACATGTTTCGATAATTGTAATGAATAACACATTTAGTCAATTTTTTTATATCCATCTCGTGTAAACTAAATAGGTGTTTTCACATGTCGAATAATAGTGGATCTCTTATCATCGAGGTCTCATTTCCAGTCTATAGTATATAATTGAGCCAACAGCCAACTTGATCAAGGGCTTTAGGTTATGCAGAAAATAGGCCTTAAAGCAGTGAAGGTGCAATCAATTAGGCATCTTAAAATCCTATCTTGCCGCGTGTTATGATGGTCCAATCTTGTACAGAAGCACCCAATTGACAACTTTTTTACACATTTCCAGCTTTTACAAATAAAATATTCAAACAAGACTCAATAGACAACTAACTACCCCATAAAAAATCAACCCTACATTTTGTCCAGAATCAAAACCAGGCCAAAATTTAGGAGTGTTACATGACGCCCCTATTGGAGGAGCGGCTATTTTGGCCAGGGGTGCCACTCCAAAACAGCCATCCCTATTCATACTTTAATTCAACCTCATCTCATTTTATTAATTTTCTAATATGCTTACTATATTCCCCGGGGCTGTGTTTGAAACTTTGGAAATTTGGATTACTTCTAGCCCCTATATAAATATAATAAAATTGTTGAGATGTGAAATGATTTGACAGAAGATTTATGGATCAAACGAGATTGATATTAATTTGAACATAAATTTAACGTGTGCCAGAATTTGAATAAAAAACTAAAAGCATATTGTTACTTTCTTTATTTTATGGATGACCAGATCATTAGGTCTGCTTTAAAATTTTAGATGCCAAGATCATTAGGTACCTCATTTTCTTTATTTAAACATTTATTGGAGTGCCATTAAATGGGGGGAAAAAGAGCATATACATTGATTATAGAAGAATTTATACTATCTGAGTTTGAGAAACACTAAAAGAGTAGCTTCTCAGATTTTGCTTTTAGGCTTGGTTTGGTATTATTATAATTTAAGAGAATCAGCAATATTTGTTGTGCTTGCGAGAAAAATCAGTTTCGTGGTTGGTATACTATTTTTTTGTTTTTTTTTCCCAATATCGTTATATGTTTCAAAATCAGCATTTTACTGTGTGGTAAACTAAAGAGATTTATTGTTGTTCATATACAATCATTAAACTGGACATTGGTTAGAATGTCATTTTTATATTATAATTATTATTGCTAGTATTGTAAAATTTATTTTTACTTTCAAATAGTATGTATATTGTTGACCCCATCTTTTGTAGGGGCAACATGGCCAACACATCCGAGGTCTTCTCACGTCCACGTTAGTCCTTGTCTTGCATATTTGGATAAATCATAAGGCACACGTAGCCTACTTCGAAGTGGAGGGGAGACAGTCACGCACACTTCAAACGGTCAAGTCAACCATCATAAGAGCAAATGTTTTATGTGTGGGACGTGCTTAAGACATGATCCACTTAAGAGCCCGTTTGGCCTCCATTACATCTCATCAAATTAAATTAAAATTTTCTCTCTCCTATTTTCAATCACACAATCTTCAATAAAATAATATTACACGTAAATCAAAAACGTTTCATTCTTTTACAATCATCCATTTTTCCAAAATATATATATATATATATATGTATTATTCCCCATTATAATCAAAATTAAAACGGGCCAAACAGGGGCTAAGTAAAAGGGTTCGGATCCGAGGATCATATAGAGAGCAAAGAGAGATTGCAAAAGTAATATGTTGAAAGCATAAACTTGATTACTTTCAGATGACACTAAATATGAGCCTTTATAATAAAAGAGAAGAAATAATTTAATTGAATGAAGAGACACGTAATCTCATTTTAATGGCCGAGACTCTTTGTCTTATGCGTCACTCTGTCAATCCTAAGTTTAAGCACATTTAATGTTATGACTGTTTGTTGCCCTTGGTCTTACACATAGGGGCTAGACTTGTGACGTATTGACTTCGTAGAATGGTTGTTGTAGTGAGTTGTTATATCAATCAATCAATCTTGAAAGATCTTATTTAGAAGATCATTTTGCAACATCTCTACCTACTTTGCCTGCTCCATCAACGTTCGACTCTCGCATGGATTCGACACCAACATAGTAGTTCGGCCTCCCACATGGCAATTCAGCAAAACGTGCTACATGGACAGGTTGACGCATAGTGCAGGCCCAAGTTCACTCGTTGTGTGACTATCATGTGGCCATGTTTGGAGCCTCCTTAAAAGAGGTGTAAGAATAGTCTCCCAAGTTCATGTTTGAATATGCATATAATACTTGAACTTTTAAGTTAAAATATGTTGCCCATGCATGGGTTGTGTTTTTAAGAGTCAGTGCTTTGACATGTGCTTTTTTCATTGGTTGAACCTATACCTTTTTAACCTCTCAATTGCGGAGGAATAATGCAGCACATATGTATTAAATATTTATCTCAGGCCACATTCTCTCTAGTTATTTTAAAGTAAATAAAAATAAAAATTAATATCCATTAAATCTCAAAATTCATAAAATTACACATAAAAGCATATTCCATATAGTAGAAAACGATTTAGTTAATTAACTAGGGTTAAATTTGATATTCTAGTTTAGAAAATTAGGGAACTTAAAGTCAAATCTAAAAAGTTAAAATTTTGCGGCTACTCAAAATTGGTAATCAGAGGGTTCATATTCTTTTATAATTTTTTAAAAAATATTACCAAACACCTAAAATAATTGTTTGCAATTGACTCTAAAATCAACCAAAAATGGAGCATTAGTTTCTACATATATCTAATCATACTTAGCCCCTGTTTGAGACCCCTTTTTTGGAGGGGGATGTATTGACTTTTTAGAGAATGTGTTAAAAAATAGGAAATTTTTTTGAATTTATATGGAAAGTTATTTTATGGAAGAATGTGTGGTTAAAAATGAGTTTTGAAAAATGAATTATGAGAAAAATGGGGTTCATGTTCCCTAATTAAACCAAATTCCTCCTGTTCTAAGTTTATTAATATTCCACAAATTTATTTGATAATATTACATATTATTACAAAATTTTAACAATTCTATATGTGATATTAATAACAATATAAAATGACGTCATTATAATAAATATTCGTTTTAGTTATTATACAAAGAAACAACAATAAATCAAATTTGTTTACCAAATACTAAAAAATTCATATTTTGAAATATAGTAATTTGAAAAAAAAAAAAAAAACAACTATAAAAATTACTAAACACTTAATTAATTCTTCGTGCAATTAAATTTTTCTTTAGCAATACAAAAACAAGACTTGACGTCTCAATATCTTATAATCAAACAATTACATCTATATCGGTGCCTCTGTAACCCTAGTTTTTATTACTATTGTATTTCTAATTCTTTCTTATAAAAAGGGGGGCTTTGGTTTTCAATATAATATACA